AAATATTTATACATTATCCTATTGTACCCAGCTATTAAATAAACACAAATGTTGATTATGGTTCACAAAAATGAAATTAACAGAATATTGTTACAATGCCAGTGATTTTTTTTCTCCTTTGCTGTAGGGAGGAGCCAAGATTTTCCTCCATGCAGGAAAATCCCTGGTTTTGCTTCCAAGATGCCAGATGAAGAATCGAAAGTATCAAACTATAGAGAATTGGTAATACAGGAGCCAATGTCAGCAAACAATCTGACCACTCCACACAGATTTCCTTACAGTGCTGAAATAAATGGCAACATTTGGCAGGTAGGAAAAAGTGAAACCAAGTGCTCTGAGTAACACATACTGTCCAATTCATGAAATATATAAGCCCTACAGAAACACAAACAAAACACTATTCAGGGATTTTTTGTCTTATATTTTAAGTCACTAAGACCAGCATAAAGCCACACACACTAACACATTCCCGACGGAAACCGTATACCTTCCATATTTCAGCTCTCCAACAAAAACACTCGCTGCAAGGCTTCACTCGAAAAGACAGAACTTAGATGGAGAGGGAGTCAGCCAATCAGAACTTGGGAGATTTTTGATTTTTTGACCCCTTTTCTGTGATTGGGCCTAGTCGCCACCCGCCCCCTTGCGTTGATTGGTCAGTTTTCCCGGCTCTGTGGAAGTCATTTGAATACGTCTGGCTTTGTGGGTTATTGCGAGCTTTTGCTTGTTCAAATACTCAATGAAGCAAGAGCGGAGACAGACAGTGGAGAAGAGCACTGCATGGACTCACAGCAGCTAAAAGATTTACCTGTTTGTTACACGTTTAGCGTCTCCTCGACGTGAGAAAGACTCGAAGTAGCGTGGAAAACCTTTTTCCTTTTCATTTTCTCAAAGGTTACTGGCAGAGACACAGTATTTGGACGCTGAGTAGCACCGTTTCAGAGGTGAGTTGTTTGGAGTGTTGCCTATGTGGATTTTTCGAGAAACGAAATACTACTATTTATTCATTTTGTGATAATAAAACCATTTTTGCTATTGAAATATAAATAGATAACTTTCGCATAGGCATAATCGAGTTATAGAAATGCCTTTTCTTGCGCAAAAGTTGATTAAAGTTTCCTAGTTTTTTTATTATTATTTTAAAAACGTATTTACTTCACCTAATATTTTAAAGTGATCTATATCTGATGAACTATTTTCTCTCTAAACGCCCAGTTTCACTCCCGACCTGTTGTTGTTGTTGTTGTTATTGTGCCACCCATAGGAGTATATAATTAGGCTGGTTGTCAGACTCAAACGAGCATTACTCACCAGCACCTGCGATGGGACCATGCTTGCACAGCATGACTTTTTCACAGTCAGCTTTTACTTTTAGTGTGTTATGACTCAGTCTGAACCCCATCATGCTAACCAGGCATGCTGGGCTGGTTTATGTGTGTGTGTGTGTGTGTGTGTAACAGATTGTGTGAGTGTGTCTGTAGGGAAAAGAAGAAAGAATGGCAGAAAAAAAATGTGTGTGCTGCTGGCCAAGGAAAAAGCCTCCACACACTTCTACACAAACCCACAGTCACTTAAAAGAATGTCAGTACTCTGTGAGCTTGTGAAGCTGCTTAAATAAATCTCACATTAAATAGCTAAACTAATTTAATTATTAACCGAGGCGGTCTGAAGGGTGCCAGCAACATTTGAGTCTTTGGAACTACCTCAAAGTCAACTTACTCCAAGTTAAAATTAAATGCTGACATCTGTGTGTTGTGCAGAGGTTGGAAGTCAACCCCTCCATCCCCAAAAAAGCTTAGGTTTAATATAGCTTTGTAGTAGTGTTTATCCTTTCTGGCTGTAGGTTAATACTGTACTAGCCTACCAGATGATACGGGAGACAGGTGTGTGTATTTGTATGAAAGTGCATCCCTGAATCCATTGTGTTTGGAAATAAAAGAAGACAACAGGCTCATAAGTGGTTGAGCCCTGTTGTGCGTATCTCTCCTGTCGATCTGAGTCTGGTATTTTTGTCTGGCTCTGTTTGCCTATCTATCAGACTTTTAAACCAGGCACCGGATCCCAGCCTCTGGTGTTTTGCTGTGGGCCTCTCCTGACCTGCACACTTCCTTGCGCCACATTTGTTTGGACACTAGGGCTGTTTCCTCCTACTTTGGTTTGGCAATTTGGTTGGTACTTTGATGACGTGTGACTTTGCTTTCCTGCATTCAGAATGCAATCCTGAAGCATTATAGGTTGGAGCTTCTGATGCTTGGACAGCCAAGCAGAACAAAACAACATCTGGACAAAGATATAAAGAATTTCATCAAGTAGGCTTTTTCTGTAATTGAAAAAACCCCAAAGTCAATGTGTCAGACAATTTTTACCTAAAGGGATTTGAAAATCTATTTCATACCCCAAAAACAGATCTATCCTCCCTATAAAATCACTGCATGTGTCTTGATTTTCACTACTGATGTATCCTAAGTCCTTGTCATGTCCCCATGAACACATTTAAAAAATTTTCCTGCGCAGAACACATGAAGGCATCTTGGTCCATTGGCATGCTGCATTTATGGGGCTGTTTGAAAATTAAAATCTGACATGGAGGAGCAGTAGAATGTTCTTCACACCGACCTGCAGCAATACATTTTGTATTTTATTTCAACTTACCCTGGTGGGAGTTTGAGATGATTGCTTTTGTTTGCACCACAGGGTGTAAAGGGGCTTTATTTTTTCAATTAACACCAGCAGCTTGCTTTAACTTGAATCATTCGGTGGCTGTAAAAGCATAATTAAATATATAACTAGTGTACCATTGCAGAAAGCATAATTGGCACATGGTGAAGTGATTAGCAAGCAACATGTGGTAAATCTGTCCAGTCTTATAGTCTTTAAAAGGTTCAGTTTGCTGACTTCTGAGGTGCTCAATCATAAAAAATTAAAAGAAGCATTAAATCATTAGAGAGCCATCTTATTTTTCTACGATATTATGTTATGAGGTGAAGTTACTAGTCCTCCCACGTAAATCGACAAATCATCAGTGACATCATTGTACAGCGTCTCTTTAAAAGGTTAACTTTTGTACACGCAAGCCACAAATAAGTGTCATGAGCACAGTCTGAACTTTGGCCTCATTATTGATAACGATAATCCCGGCTGTCAGGAGTTTCCTCCAGACTGTCATGCTTCTCTCACTCACCCACCTTGTCTGTTGTAGCTCATTAGTGTCAAAGTACATTGGGTACAAAGTAGAAGTAAGATAGCATTGCAGTACATTGACATCTTAACACTCTCACAAATAGTTTTATGGATCCTCTTATCAGGCGCAGGCTCTGCCTTCAGCTTACTCCGCTGCTCCTCTCATGAAACCATTTTTATGAGTATACACTTTACGGGTATATAAACTTTGCAGAAGACAAGGTGCTAATTTAGAAAACGTGACTGTTGTTTTCTTGCTACTGACCAGCTGCTTAAAGTCTTCGAATTTTATTAGATGTTTTTCCTTTTTTTAAAAGCAGGAGTCAAACAAACCCCTGTCTCATCTAAGCTAAGGCAGTTGGTCCAGGCTGTTCTGAGGTCAGTACCTTGTAGCTTTTATTTTGTATGAATAAAGCGATCTCTACTAAGGTCAGTAAATGGGTTTCGATATGCTCTTTTATTGAAGTCATAAACAAAAAGTCTTGTCCTTGTTTAAGCCTGGCAGATTATTATTTGTGACTTCGCTATAATAAGAGGTCCCACCTTAGAGAAGAATGAGTAAAGTCTGCTTTTCTGGTTTGACTGATGTAAAAATGATCCCAGGCTCGGCTCACGCAGAGGCTGGGCGTCGTATAACCTGACAGCGGAGACCAGAGTGTGTGAAAGCTGCTGTGTGTGTCTGATCTGCTGGGATCTGCTCTGATCTCTTCCTGTGGGTCTTTGTGTGGTTGTTAATGCCATGACAGGATAGATAATGCTTCTATTGTTGAAGACCTCCTCCCCTGCCCCGTCCCCCTCCTCCTGTAGGGCACAGCATTGCTAGGTGTACTCTTTAAAACCACATTAAATGGTTTTAGAAAAAAGTATTCTGACAACGCCTTCAGATTCATTAAAAGCCAGACATGGGCAGCTTTCATGTACAGAAGACCTTTTTAAATACGCCGAATTGGCTTGTCTTGTTGATGCAGCGCGAGCACGTTTTATTGGTGTAAATCCATTAGTGGATGAGATTTTCCTGCTGCACCATCAAAAGTTCAATTTGTTTTAACCATTTCATGACATTTTAGCCAATGGGCGCTGCAGTCTTGTTTCGATGCCAGCTGGTAAGAAAATGCACAGACGTGCAAGCCCTTAGGATTTTTAACGGTCTAGTACAAAAGTGGTTTTCTTGGTAAAAATGTTCTTACATCACTGTACATTTTTTGCTTTTTCCTGTATTATTATATTCACATCAGTCTGCTTCTTAAGCCTGCAATCTTCAAAGTTTACAAACAAGAGAATATAAACAATGCTTTTAATATGAAATTATACTCCCAATGCCATCATTAAGTCATTCACGGAGAGTCCAACCTATGATTTAGAAAGAGTGCAATTGCAGTGCAGCAGCGGGGAAACCGCAACTATCCAAAGGGTCAACTTTTCAGGAAGTCCGTGTGGAAAAACACAGGATTGTTTTCCAATTTCTTAGTTTTCCCCCTTTGCACAAGGTCACCTTCCAATGCAAACAGAAGGACAAAAGGCATCTACACTGGAGTAAATATTACTCAGAGGACTCTTATCTCAACTTCACCACCGCAGCCATGCTTTTCCAGATTGCGTTTGTAATTCGAGGAAGGTAAAGACACCGTAATCTCTAACTAAGTTAGAAGAAGAACAGCAGGCTGAGATCACAGAGTTCAAAAGATGGTTTGGCACTGGACTGGCTTACACTGGCAACATGCCAAACGCTGTGGTATATGTGTGCGTGCGTGTGTGTGTGTGTGTGTGTGTGCATCGTTCAAGCCATCATTTGTTTGTGTGTGTGTGTGTTTGGATTATACCGGCATGGGGCTAGGCGCCATTGTGGACAAGGGTGTGTGTGTGTGCGTAAGATGTTGGCTCAGGCAGACACTCCTCTGTCGGCACTGTGATGGACAAACAAAAGTCTGCTGGATTCCTGCAGGGTTTTGTTTCTGGCACAGTATATGTGCATTGCTCACATGTAACTGTGTGTGGCTCGCTTATGCTGGCATGTGGTGCCAAGACAGACAACAGTAGCAGGATAAAGATGGCTCCAGAGTTAAAGCACGCCTCGGTGGTGATCTGGGATCAGCTTACCCAACTCAAATCCAATTATATTAACCATTAAGACAAACGGCGGGGGGGGGGGGATCACTGCTGTTGTGTCATCTGGCAGGTTGTTGTTGTGAGTATAAGCTGATTTGTAGAAATTTTCACCAACAAATGACTTTCTCCAAGCTGTAAATTTCCAAAGGAGAAATGTTTGTGTTCAGAACCAGAAAGTATAGACAGAGGAGGGGTAAAATTATGTGATTAAGTATAATTCCTTTCACAGACATCCCTAAGTCTTTCCTTTGCGTGATGGAGTTGCTTAAACGTATTTTCACAACACTCGGCTTCCCAGAGAGACGGGCAGGCTAACGCAGTAAGACGCTGCAAGAGACACTAGTCACGATTTTGTGACTTCAAGTTGACTATAAAAGGATTGGTCTGTTGACAACTGTTGGGAAACCTTTGGGAAATCATGGATTAGCTGATCAACGAAAGAAACTGCGTCATAATTATTCTTTAAAACTGGCTTGTGCAATGGAGTTATAATTTTTGATGGTTGATTGGACTTAGACACTGCAGTAAGGGTAAGGAGAAAGAAAATGAAAACAAAGATCTGCTTTAATTCAATCACAGAAGCCTTTCTACTTCATTCAACACCTACATGTCTGGTATTATAACTTGTCAGGATTTGTTTGAATAATGCAAAGTGTCACTTTGAAAGCCTCTGTTTCTACAAACTAAATGCAATGTTTTATTTTTATTGGGCCTCTTCCTGTGCCGTCCACTGTTTCAGATACCCGGGGAAACCTACTGATTGTTGCTCTTTTCCTGTTTAGGCTGTGCAATCATCTCTTAATTTTCCTGGGATATTTCATACCCAGTTCCAGAAAGATTGGCTTTAGAATGAGGTTTCAGGAAGCAAATCTAAATTATCTTTTTTAAAAAAAGAAAAAAAAGAAACCCTCCCTGTTGCCTGTTTATCATATCTGGCTTATTGGGAATCTTTAAATTGGCTGGAAGATGTAGCTTCATGTGAATTATGAAAAACATATATTCAAGATTACATGTTATCCATCATGTATTTCTCAGCTGACTGAGAAAATGTATTATCATGTCATGAAATTGCATATAAATAGTCTGTTAATCTTTATTTCTCAACCCTAACCTACTCCTTGTATGTTTTGTAAAGGTCATCATGCCTCCAACAACGCCATATGCTGGGAAGTTCAGCTCCTGCGTCCCTTACAGCAGCAATGCCAACCACCAACAACCTACGAGCCCGTACCGGAGCAGCACTGTCCCGAAACCTGCGAGGGAGAACATCTACAACGGCGCCTACTCGGTTGGAGAGAACCCCTACGACATACCTCAGCCTCACAGCGGGGCTTATCGGAGCGCCTCTGTCTCCTCTGTGAATGCGAAGGAGCATCATTACACCAGCTGCGCTCTGTCTGAAAACCCATACTCCTCGCCGCAGCCTTACAGCCCTCGCCAGCACAGCACTTCCTGTCCAGGCCGCGCACATCGCCACACGAGCGGCAGCAGCGGCAGCAGCAGCGACCAGTCCTGTCGTAACAACAACAACGTAGCTGCGGCGAAAGCGCAGTTTTACGGACACGGCGTCACCACCAGCTACGGGGAGATGTGTTACCATGACAATAGCTTGGTGTCTGCATCTCTTGAGGCTCTGATCCAGCACCTGGTTCCCACAGTGGACTACTACCCTGACGTACGTTACAGGAAACATGGTCTTTTTGTGAGAAACGGAGTGGTCTAGAATAGACGAGTCTGAGAAAAGAGGTCGGCTGTCCTGGCTGTGTTGACCTTTCTCTTCTTGTTCTTTCCTCCTCATCAGAGGTCGTATGTGTTCACTTTCCTGCTGAGTTCACGCCTCTTCCTCCCCCCCTACGAGCTCATGACGAGGGTTTGTCACCTGTGTGTGGAGCAGCAGCGGTCTGGAGATGCCCTGCTGGATAAGGTGGGCTGGGAACACACACACACACACACAGGGCTATAATTTGCTTCTCTTCTCGTCACACTCACTCTCTGCTCCCACACAACCTTCCACCCACTATAAAATCCACAAGCTCGCTCACCCACATGCTTCTTTCTGAGAGAAAGTATTTATCTGGTTTGTTTTTTTTTGCCCAAGCAAATAAAATCCAGGCAAGGGAACACTCGGAAACAGAAACTGCAAAGATAAAATAAATAATGGCAGAATATGCTCTTAGAAAAACAGCGAGCTGTGGCTACTCTTGCGTGTTTTAAAAGATATGAGGGCCATGCCGTTTAGATTATTGACCAGAGAGAGATTTACTCATAAGATAAATCAAATCATGCCTGCCTGAGTGTCACTTAGTGCGCCATCTGATGGTTTTCAGATTCGTTTCCGTGAGGTGGCCCCTAAGCTGGTGCAGCTGCTGACCGAGTGGACTGAGACGTTTCCATACGACTTCAGGGACGAGAGGATGATGCGCTGCCTTAAAGACATGACGCTTCACGTGGCCCGAGGGGACGAGGTTAGCGTTCAGAGCTCCTGTAGTTAAAACTTCTCATGCAATGAATTTGCAGTAATTCAACATAAATATCTCAAGTTCATTCTCACCTCCCTGTCATAGTTTTCATTATTTGTGCTGTCTGTGTCACGCTGCAGTACTCTTGGCGAGCCATGCAGCAGATGACCCAGCGTCTTATCAAACGCCTCTCTGCCCTCGGCCAATACGAGGAGGCTGTGGCAGCGCTCAATGTGGTGGCAATGGAGCGTCCCGCTTCCTTGAAGAGCAAGCAAGCATCAGCTCAGCGGAGCGACGTACTGAGCGTGTGCGACGATCCCTTCGTCCTCGCCCAGCAGCTTACACACATTGAACTGGTAGGAAGTTGGTGTTAAAATTTGGGTGCCTGTGCTTATTATCGGATTCTGTAGAGAGAAATTTTTTTCAGTCCTTCAAAGCACGTCTGTAGATTATATTAATGAGCTTTTATGATTGTCTGTCTTATGCTATTGTCATTGTCTTAATTGTTTTTATGTTCTGTTTTCTGCCCTCAGGACCGACTGAGTTTTATTGGTCCAGAGGAGTTCATCCAGACGTTTGCCATGAAGGATCCTCTGGAGAACCATAAGGTACAATTGAGTTTGAATGAAAAAACGCTTAGCTTAGCTCTACCTCCAGCGTTTTAGATCGAGTTTTGGACAAACAGCTCACAAAAATTCCCATCTTCTCACTCAGGAACTTGCAGGCTCAGGTTTACTTTTCATTTCATTATTTGCTTTTTTCCTTTTGAACTTCTACATGATAAAACTGGAGACATGTGCAAAGTCATATAAATGAATCTCATTCCAGTCACAATTAGCAGATAGATCTAACAGCTACGGCTTGCTGCGTGCAGTTTTACTGTGTAAAGACAGCTTGAAAATACAGTAACATGACCTCTTTATAATTATCAGCATCAAAGGACTGCAGACGATTGCAGTTATTTTGAGTAAATTTTTATTGTTTTGATTTGAAGTATATTCTAGGCCTGCTTTGGGTGTAATTTGTGGTCTGCTTCAGTTGAAGTAAATATGCTTTGGAAACCACATCAGAGAATCTACTGGCAGATAGATAACAATTTGTGCAGTGTTATTTTTAACATAGCTCAGACACAGTATGAAAAAGTCCTTTTGCATATGTCTAAGTGAATCTGAGGGACCTGTAAGTGAGCTGAAGGGTCGTATTCAATCACTGCTGCTGGGAACAAGTGCTCACCCACTGTTTGTAGCCGTGCTCCAACCAGTGCTGTGCCAGTTATATAAGACCCACTTTGTATAAAAGAGCAGTTGAGTCAGCGAAAGGGGTCCTGAAGTGTAGAAGGGGAAGTTTGGAGTGGAGTGGGCTGTCGCTGTTGTGTAAGCATTTAATAGAGCCATGAATCTCTGAGATTACATCATCACGGACAAGTCAAATTTATTTATACAGAGCTTTTATAATGTTTGTTTACATAAAAGGGCCTCTGAGAAACAAGTTCTCCACAGAGTGTCCTTATAAAAAAACAAAAAAACAAAAGGCACCAAAGTAGATGTAAATGAGATGAAAATAACAAGCAGACACGTCACAGGCTTCAGTGCAGGTCCAGAGGTTGTGTGGGTGTGAAGGCTGTCAGGATCCATTAGCAAAGGAAATTATAGAGGAGCAGCAGTCTGTCTCCTTCTATTTCTGATTTATAAAATAATTTATTGGCTAACCTTAAGAAGATTATGTCGATGATGCTGAATCTCAGGGAACAAATATTAATAGAAGACCAACAAGTAGCCAAAAGGTACATGGAAACATTAGCTTGACTGATATGAGGAAAAAGTAAAACAAAGCGGAAATTAAAACCTAATTAAAGAATTGAGCAGACCTACCTCCGAGCAGAAACATCAATAACAAAAGGGTATTTTATTAGATAATTAAAATAGATAAGATCTATAGAAAACATATATTTGAAAGATTGTTAAGTTTGTCTGTAGTTGAAGTTGTTGGCTATCTGTGGATAAACATTGTCAGTAAAAGAAAAACAGATACACAGTAACCAATTACTTTAGAAGCATGGCAAAAGCTGGAAATTGTTAGCTATGGCAGTATAACTAGCTTAGCGTATGAGTTGAATTATTAGCTAAAGATAATAGATAAACACTGGATATAGCTCGCTAAGATTATGCTAAAAGGTGGAGATTACTAGCTAAATGTAAACTTAAATAGCTAGGTAAAATCTAGTATAAGAAATTGTTGGTTAAAGCTGTGGATAACCTGTTGAAATTTTCAGTTAC